AGTATCCAGGACTGAAATTGGAGATGACAGAAGCACAGAGCTGTTCACGTTAACAATGCCAGCAGGCTGTGTGTTTTCTTCTCTTGTCACAACCAAAGCCTACTGAGGTTTAGCCTTTATTTTCCCCCAAATGCTTCCAACTCTGTAAAACATCGTGGCTGGAGCAGGCCTGCTTAAAAAGTCATCTGGCAGAGTCACATTCACCACCAGCTGAGAAGTTTGGCATAATTGTGAGACTAATCTTATTTTGGGAGCAAGGCAGGCTTAAACAGGCTCACGAGCCTGAACTGCTCCAGACTGCAGGCTAAAGGCTTTGAAATCAGCAATTAATTCTGACAACATTTCAGTCAGTTTGGTTCACAGAATCAGTGCTGGGTTGGAAAGGACCCACCAGGGACATCGATCCGACTGCTGGCCCTGCACAGGACACACCAAGAGCCCCACCCTGTGCCTGAGGGCATTGTCCAAACACTTCTTGAACTCGGACAGGTTGTGTCATAAGGCCACACTCATCTCAGATTCTACCTGAGCCTCTCCAACACAGAAAATGTTTGCCTATAATAGGACAAAAGAGAAAAGAGGGGCTACTCCTATAATGTAATCAGCACGCAGTACCTGTGAGGGAACAGGCAACTGCTGACCTGAATCAGCCAGCAGTCATCCTAAACCTGGTGACTTTTAGAAAGAGGGGAAAAAAAAAAGAAAAAGAAAAAAAAAAAAAAAAAAAAAAAAAAAAAAAGAAAAGCAGCAGCAGCATTAAAACCCTTTTTCCTCTCAGGGCCTCACTTTCCCCTCCCAACCTTTGTCTCTTGTTTCTTTATTTTGCAGAGGCTGCAGGGCAGGGTTTCCCTCCCCCGTGTTTGCCCAGGGTTTAGCACAATGCCTGACCTGTCAGGCTCTGAGTGTGGTGAGGGGACCCTGAGGAGTGGCCCCTGCGTGCACTTCCTTGCCACCAGCCCCTCATCTCGGTCCCCTCTGCCCCTGTGTTCTGTGCCAGGCTCCTTGAGCCCTGCTCTACATCCCCTTGCTCTCACAAACCCCGTGGCGCTTTCTGCAGCCCCCAGCACAGCCCAGTCTCACTTGTAAACCAGTGAGACCCGCACAGCACTGCACTACTGCAGCTTCAGCATGGGAAGGCAGGAGATACTCCTGAGGGCAGCCCAGAAAAGCCAGGCATCAAAGAAGCCAGAGACAAACTGTGCCATGTCCTGGAATAACAGGAATAGTGTTCCTTTGGCAGTGAGTAAAACACAGAGACGCTCTGGGGAGAAGAAGAAAAGCCACACAAAGGTAACCCCACTGATGCCAGATTCTTCTCCTGGCTCAGGAGTGGCCTGAGGGACAGTCTGCATGCTCAGCACAAACCCTTCCAAGAAGGGCATGCTTAAGCCTTAAAACCAGTCCAACACCAGTAAGCAGGCTCACCTCAGCTGGACTCAAAACCAACAAGCTTTTCCAAGTGTTAGGAGAGATGGGTCAAGCAAACATGCAAAGTTAGAGGGCCCTACAACACTACAACAAGGCATGTACAATTTGGCAGGATTTTAAACATCTCTTTGTAACTTTAGCAGGAGAAAAACCCCTACATTGTTAAGCTTCACTCTAAATAAGGAGAGCAGGCTTTATTTTGAGCAATAAAAGGGAGATTTGAAGTGGCAATCAGGCTATGGGCAAAAGAAACTTCTTAAGCCCATGTTTTAGGCTCTGTTTCTACTTTGTGGGAGTGCAGAGAAGGGACATCAGTGAGGAGTTAAAGCTCTGACCTTCCCTCCAGGCTGTGAGCTGCCAGAAATCACTCTGGGGACTCTGGAGTTCAGTCACTTGATGTGTTTCTTCCTCATCCCATTACAGCATTGCTTACTTTCCCCATAACACCCCTATTTGGGAGTTGCTATGACAATTTGTAGCATTACTTACAGTGCTCTATGCACAAAGAGATTAAGAGACAGTTTTCTTTTCCAGCATTTTATTTTCTTAAGCCTTGAATAGGAAAGTTAGGCTCAGTCCTGCTAATTACCTGCACTAATAGGTGAGTTAGAGGCTCTAATCCAACCTGAATTTGATGGAATATCCTTGGGCACAGACACAGCTCAGAGCAGACGTGAGCCTGTGAGGTGGACCAGTAACAGTAAATAAAAACCCAGTGCATTCAAGGCTACCTTGTCCTCCCCCTGCAGCGTGTGGAAGCAATTTTGAGGGAGTTCACAACTTAATGCAAAGGGACACTGGTAAATAGGCAAAAATTCCAGTAGGGACCTAGGGATCACACGCTGTCTGACTCACAGGCAAGGAGAGGCAGTGCTCTCCTTTGCTTTTAAGGCATAACCTTCAAGTTACTCCTCCTGACTACCCTGAGCTCTAAAGCTGAAGGGCTCATCTGCTTCCCAGCAGCTCTTCCAAGTCCCCCAAAAGGTGCTACAAACACCAGGCACATCTTATCCTTCAGACTAGTCCAGAGGAGCTCACATTGGGCACCAGTAAAACCTGAAATAACCATTTTAATCCTATTTTGGGGGTCTGTCCTCTAGTTTTTAATCAGGGTGAAGCAATGCAATGCTCAAATCAGGTTTCTGCTTGCCCTGTCCTCTTACCCAGTATCTGATGTCCCCTGCCTAAGAAACTTGGGGGTCAGTCCCCCAAGCTGTCAGTCACCCTGAACACAGCAGGTACACAGCGTTATCAGCTACAAATTTATCACCTTCACATCAACCTTTGCCTTCAGCACTTCATTTTCCAGTGGGCCCGTCCTTTCTCTTGCCCTCATTCACCCAAAATGCTGTTGCAAAAGCCACGACCATCCCATAATAGCCGTAGTCTTAACATCTGACCCGCAGCAGCCGTGCTTGCAGTCATCCCAGTGCTTATCTGATAAACTGATGCTTTATGGAAGCAATTACATCCTATCTGCAGTGCCTCATGGCAACGTCCTCCGAAAAGCTGCAGCACTCCAGCCCCCTCCTCCCTCCACAAGCCATTCCCAATATAAAAAGAAACTGGATATTAGCTGGCTCAGCAGGAGGAACCACTTGACATTCCTCAGTCAGAGGAGGCAGAGAGGGAGATTATTATAAATCAGAGCGGACAGTCGCTGCACGGCGCGGTCCGGCGTCTCCGCGCGGTAACCTGCACGGGAAAGGCTCCGGCCCGAGGATCCCCAGGACTCAGAAATCAGCTGGATGGCTGTGGGGACACCCCACAGGGCTGGGCTTCCTCAGAGGCTGACAAGCTCTGCACTATCTGTCAGAAATCATACAAAGTACAGTCAAAACCCGTGTGCCTCGCATCCTTCCGTGTCCCAGCTCAGGGCTGGCCTTGCTTGTCCCCATCTTCTCCCTTCTGCCTGGATTGTTCTGTTTATCTCCTGCACCTGGGTTAATTGCTGCAATTGACTGATACGGGTGGTGCAATGGGATGTAAATGAAGTAGGGGGGAAGAAAAGGAAGGGGAAAGACCTGGGTGGGCTGGAGAAGCATTAGGAAAAGCAAGGCCAGCTGCATCCTGCAGAAAGCCAGCTCTGCTGAAGAGTATAACACACCCTTAAAAACGTTAATGGTGCAAATTCAACAGCAGCCTTTGGGTTGTTGGTGCTTTTGCTGATTGTCACCAGCCAGGGCATGCAGGGCACCCCATGCTCAGGGCACTCGAGGGCTGGAGTTTGTCCTGTGCCAGCCCACACATCCCTCCTCTCGTAGCACAAGTCTTGGGTCACTCTGACCTCCAGGATGGGAATGATAAAATCAGCTCACAGAGCTCCAGCATTTATTATCATGCACAAACAATGCTAACATCTGTCCAGCTTTCTGGTCACGATAAATACACCAACACTCCCTCAATGCAAGGTCTGCTCGCAAAGCTCATCCAACAAAAGGCAGAGCCTTTTCTCATCCTAGGAACAGCAACTTGGTTCACATCGAGGCCAATGGCTTTCCTTCCTAGGATTAAGGAGCAAGTCAGCTGTCCCTGTTTCCATAGCCACTGTTTTCCCCTCTGCATGACAATGTGAATGAACGGGTTTTCTCCCAACACAACCAAGTCTCAGTGCAGAAGGAATTTCATTGCTCTGTTCCTAGAGAGGCATTTTCAAAGATGAAAGATTTTTAACACTTAAAACTGCCAAGAGTCTCCATCTGGCAAAGGAGAACAGGACCTAGAAGTGTCTTCACTGCCACAGGTTTTATTAACACCTTCCTGTGACAAACCTGCTGTTTGAGCCCATTGCTGAATAAAAACGTCATTGCTTGTTTCTTGCTCCTTTAGGCTGATCCCCCAGGATATTCTGATCTGTTTTTCCCGTGAAAATCCACTGACAGCCACTCCATGCTCACATCAGAACTCCACCTCTTCCTACCAAACCTACCAAGTGAGCAGCATTATTGCTTCTGGAAATGGAGATGGCCTGAGGTGACAGCTTCCATGCCACATAATTCCATAGCCACCAGATATTTAGCAATTCCTTGGAGTGCAACAGTTGCTACCATAGAAATAAATCAAATTATTTTCCTGACCTCGCATTTGAATTAGGGCCCACAGCTTCACTCCAGCACTGGCACCTACCCCACCCTTACTCTGCAGTTAACTCCAAGCAGCCACTTCAGAAAGGCAGAACAGCTTTAGAAACATGAATTGGTCATCATCCCAAAAATGCAGAGCCTCAAATAGTCCTTCCTCTATTAAAAGGAATTGGAGGGAGACACCTTTTCAATTAAACCATCTTGTCAATCAGCACAACTGAATAAAACTCCTGGCACTGTTGGGGGTTGTAACTTCAAGCATTTGAAGGATGCTTCAAGCGTTTTAGAATGAAGCTGAAAAGCTTTAAACTTTTAAGTTGGTTTTAATAAAAAAGCATTTTAAGATTCCTGCTTTTAAAACAAACTCAGAAACTTCTGCTAATGGTTTTCAAAATATTTTTTAGTTAAAAATTTCATTATAAATGTAATGGCTCACACTTCCAGGCTCGCTTTCACGCCAGGTTGACACAGTCTCCCCTTTCCAACCAGCACTTACATCAAGATGTGGGCAGACACCCAGAGAGAGCTGGACACCATGCTCCAGAGAGAAAGAGAGGAGTTCCTCGAGCCAGAGGAGGACCGTGAGAAAGCGATGAAGATGTTGGCCACTGCCTACATCCAATATCTGGAAATCTTCCGGAAGCTGGAGGCGGCCCACGACCACCTCATCCACCAGCAGAGGCGGGCGGCGGTTCGGCAGGTGCTGGATGGGGTCATCGGCCGCATCCTGGAGATCAAGAAAGAGATGGTGGCCCTGGAGAACTCGGAGTGTCACTGCCTGGATGGCATCCTTATGGATCTGAAGCGTGTCCCGGTAGGGCTGCCTCCATTATCAGCTAATTCACAGGGGAGATTTTGGTTTATTCTTAGGCCTGATGTGTCAAACAAACAGAGCCCTTAGGGAGGGCCTGCTGCCTCTCTGGGGTCACCAGGAAACTTCCAAGTTTTTCACAGCCCATGGACATGATCTTCCATGCAGAGGGCAGGGAAAGGGTAGCACATAGTCTGAGGGTGATCACAAAAGATTTCAGGGCTTTGGGACATTGAGTAAGGGATTCTGGGGCACAAGTTATTTTTGCCTGACACTTCCAGTTGAAAGCAGCAATACTGAAAGAAACAGATGGCTCCCCAGCTGGTGTCACCACCATAATTTTGGGGGTTTTGACAGTGGAATGGCCTGTGCAGTGCCAGGAGTGCTGGTATCAGATGGTGCTCACCTTTCTCAGCAAGGGAAGGGAGTCTTTGGGCGGTGGGACCAGATGACCCTTTGTGGTGCCTTTCAATTTGACCCATTCCAAGATTCCATATTATTACTTATCACAGAATCCCAGAATGGTTTGGGGTGGAAAGGACCTTAAAGGTCATCTCATTCCACCCCCTGCCATGGGCAGGGACACCTTTCACTATCCCAGGCTGCTCCAAGCCCCATCCAAGCTGGCCTTGGACACTTCCAGGGATCCAGGGGCAGCCACAGCTTCTCTGGGCACCCTGTGCCAGGGCCTGCCCACCCTCCCAGGGAACAATTCCTGCCCAATATCCCATCTAAACCTACTCTCTTGTCAGTCATAACTTGACAGCTTTGCTGTTACGTGTCAGGAGCTTGGCTCTGCCAGATTTTAATGTGGGGTGGGACAGAAAATGGGCCATTGATAAGTAAAGTAGAGTCCTCTGCAGGCTGCCCTTCAGCACGGTGAAATCAGCACGGTGAATGTGACAGTGAGGCAAAGTGTGGAAGCTGTGCTTTAAAAGCAAATTAAAAAGAAGAAAATGAGCTGGCAAAGGGTGTTGCTTCTCTCGCAGACAGCTCCATCTATTGTCACATTCAGGTACCGCTGCTTTGCTAAAACCAGCTGGAATTCCTGCTTTTTTTAGGATCCCAGCTCCGAGTTCAATTGCCTGATATCATTACAACATCATTCTGAGATCTGCAAACGTGTTTCTGTTTGCCACTGCACATCTGCAAATTTAGCATAGGAATTGCCAGGAATTTCCACCAGTCCTTTACTGTCAACATTAATCACTCTTTTAAACCGAGAGTATAAACACATCTCACAGGGAAAACAATCCTTCAAATCATATTTTGAAATCCCTAGCACTGCTGTTTTCATGACTCAGCAGTAAATCCATCTGCAGCAAAAGGTTGGCAAGTCTGAGAAGTCATGCCTGACATCTCCTCAAAAGCAAGCATAAATTCAAATTCCTGCACCACACCTTCATTTTAAGAAGGCCTAACATACCTACCTACCACAAAAGAAATCAATCACTGAGGAGATTTCAGGTTTTTTCAAGGAAAAAAATTCCATACTAGATAAGAATATAGATTAATGGGGTGTTCTTTTTAATAAAATATTAAAATATTCTTGATAACAGAACAAAATTACTGGACAAATAACTCCTGTTTCTCAAAGGATTTGCCCAGAATGGATAACTCCAGTCATTCCTTTCCCTTTTTAATGAGTGCTGAAATCCTGAAGGATTGAAGGCAGAGGACACAACATTTTATATCTTATTGTGATGATTCTGCCTATTTTGTACTGTGTCATTGTAAGGCTAAGCTTTCCTATGTCTCCAGTTCTGTACCTCATGTTTTTGTGCAGTTGCCTTCCAACATCCAGTCACTCCATTTCCTGGGGTAATTGTGAAGGTATTTGGATCCATAAATCTCATGTGGGGCTGGGAGTGGCTAAAAAGGCACAAATATGACTCGAGGTTAAACATCTCAAGCCTGATTTTTCAGTGCTGGGCCCCAAAAAGAGATTATGAAGAGAAGGAGGCTCCCCACCCCTTCCAGCCCTGGCACTGGGGCTTTGATCTCTTTTTTCCAGTCAGTAAAAGTCAAAATTTTAGAATTAAAGGCCAGGTGAGACATCAGAGATACTCCTACACTGACTCTGCTCCCTGGCAGCCTAAAAATCCTCTCATCCTACAGGAGGGTGTCCAGACAAACCCCTTGATTTCTTATCCCTCCAGATTTTAATCCACCCAGAGTGATTTGCACTCAGAGTACAGCATGTAATCATTTCCATCAACTACCAAGGGTTGTTGGAAGGTGCAAACAGGGAGCTTAGCAAGATAAATATTTAGAAACTTTATCAGACCAGACCTCTGCACTGATAAAATCATATAAGCACAGCCTGACTTGGAAGCTTTCTTGTGGTGTCATGGTAGGGATGTCCCTAAGTGTGCAGCTGAGAGAATGGGGAATGAAACTGGGAGAAATGTCTATCAGTTACATATTTTTAATTACAGAAATTAGTAAAGACAGGCACTTCTGGTCGTGTCTGATTTTAAGAAGTTTCTGAGATACCACAGTCACAGGCAGACAGTTTATCTACAGCTCAAAATACCCATAAAAAACCCAAGAATTGTGCTCTGGTTCCTTATAATGGTAAAAAAAAAATGGCAAGAGAACAGATCTATTTTTCATGTTGATTAAAACAAGAAGTGGGATGATCACACAACCAAAGGTATTCAGCTTTGTGGAAATCATGTTTAAATTTCTAGCAACCCTGCCAAATATTTTAGCAATTTGATAATATAATTGAGCCATTATAAGAAGAAAGATTTCTGGGCTCACATGGTTCACAAACTGGGTTGATTTATTTGTTTTTGTTGAATTAGGCCTAAAGTAATTGAAAAGTAACAGCAGCTGTTACAAAGGTCAAATTCCCCAATACTCAAAAAATATTCAACCACCTCTGCCCTTATTTTATCACATTTAAAGGTGTTCAGTTAATCAGTGATGTGATTTAAATACAGTCCTAAAAATCATCTCATTACTTTCTTCCTCCAGGAAGACATAGAAATACCCATCCCAAAGTATTTTGTGAAAGAAAACCTGAGAATCCTGCAGGAGAGGGAGAAATACCTGCATGAGATTTTGCTGAATGCTGGTTTGCTAGAGCAGGTAAATGTACCCCATACCTGTGTATCGTATTGGATTTGTTTAGTTTACAGCTGCATGTGTCTGAAACACGAGACACTGAAGTGAGAAGGGCTTTTACAGCAGTGAGGAAGTAAAAGTGTGTTTACAGATAAGGCATGAGCAGAAAGAAACCTTAGATTTCCCTGTCAAACAATATCCAGTCACATCTCAAGTCTGGGTAAGACTGAGATTATTCTACTCTGCCTTCTGTGTGTGAAAGGGCAGCACTTTGGCCAAGTCAGTGTTTTATTTGTCTAACTAACCCTCATCATCTAATTAGTCCTACTGAAACCAAGCTGTCCTGGCCCAGGACTCTGCACTGGAGCGGGCAGAACTCAGAGTTCAGGTCAGCACAAACCTGAACACAGGTTCACAAACAGAACACAGCATTCACTGGTTTATAACCTCTGAACAATGAGTGCAGTTTCCCCTGTGCAGCTCCAGAGCTGCAGCTGCTGGGAGGAGCAGAAAACTGAGCTTTGGCAGAGCAAAAGTCATTACAGAGGAGTACAGGAGCGCTGCAGTGAAGGCTGCTCTGGATTTGATATACTTTTGACCTTTTGGGAGTGGCATGTTGGCCCTTGCAACTAAACAACTGTGCCTCCATGCCTGGATGACTTGGATTCATGGATGTTGTAGCCATAAGAGACAGTGCTGATGGCCCACTTAGTCACACCGCTGCCCTGAGCTCTCCAGCAGCGACTGTGCCTGTTGATCCCACAAAATAACAGAGGGGAAGTCCACAGGGATGGAAACAGCCCCAGGCAGACTGGAGAGACAGAGCACAGACTTCCCTGCTTGAGGTTTTGCTGGGCAGCTGCAGCGCTCCCCTGCTCCTCCACAGGACAGCTCTGGGTGAGTTCTCTGCTTTTGTACTCGCCTGACATTGCTCTGGGGAGATCCTGTTTCAGCACAGTTTATCCTGGAGCCTTTTTGCTTCCCAGAATTCCACTCCTGCTGCTTTCCACTCCTGCTGCAGAGGGGCATCCATTAGGCATGAGGTTGTCCAGTGAGCAGCCAGCTCAGCCAGAGCACCAGGGTCTGGCAGGGTCCAGCTGTCCCTTGCCAGGCTGCTACAGGGAGCAATAAAATAACCTCACCCAGTGCCCTGTGCTGCACTTCCAGCTCACTCACCACTGGGGTTGCTGCAGGGTTGTCAGCACTTCTGCACCTCATCCTCTCAAGGAAATGCTGGCTGCTGTGTAACCAACTGGAATTCTCCAGTGTCCCTGGCAGTGCTGTTAGGAGCAGTCCAACATAAATCAAAACCAGTGGAGTTCATCTCAGCAATCTGCTCTGCACAGCGTTTGTGTGATTCTGTTCAGGAAACCTATCCTATGTAATCCTGTCCTAGAAAGCCCTGCTGAAAGTAAGTGCCACACACTGTGTACATAATAATTAAATATGAGCTGCCTCCAGCTGGGAGATGACCATCAAAGGACACTAATTCAGCTTTTCCATGGGGAGCATGAGGGCTGTCAGGAGTGAGAAGGGGGAGTCCCTTCTGTTCTGATCCATTTTTCCCCTCTGGCTCAGAACAGCCCCTCCTTCCATTTCCATTGAAGGAACTGTGATCCCAGCAGCACCTCCAGAAACCTTCCCTTCAGAAAAGGAAAGGAAAACATTCCACAGCCTAAGAAATTCTCCTTTTAGAGGGACAAAGCCCCATGGTTGTGTCTTTTTGCTCAAGTGGATCAAGTTCAGCAGGGCTGCTTCCCAGCAAAGCAGGTTTTCTTCATCACACATCAACAGGAATCTCTGCTCTTTGTTTCCTAAGATGTCATCTTCTAACCGAGGCATGCAATTAACAGAACATAACTTTCCTTTGTTCATTCCTTTTTTATTTTGAAGGAAGCTGTCACAGCCATGACACTTGAAGAGGGCATTAAAGTGATCCAGGTGGCAGAACGGGCTCGCCAGGGCCGTGCTCGAGCAGCCTTCATGAGGAGAATTTACCTTGAAGAGAAAAGACAAAGTAAAAAAGAGGAGCAAGAGATGGGCAAAAATCCAGATGATGCTGCCACTTGCATTCAAAAGGTGAGTTTCTTGTGTAGCAACAGTTCTGGCAAAGCCAGATGACAATGTTTTGGTTGGGAGAGCAGCTGTAGACAGAAACACAGCTCACAGGATGGGAAGCTTTCTGAAATGATCCTTTTTAGGGTGTCCAGCAAGGTAAAATACGTCATTTAAACCACTTTAAAAAATGAGACAGGACCTTAGATGTAAGATCAATGGAACCAGTCCTGCACTGGCAATGCAGGATGACTTAATAACTTACAAGTTGTTTTTCCATTCTGATTTTTATGACCTCGGTTGCTCTTTCTGGCCTCCCCTTGGAATTCAGTGCATCTCTGAATTCATGCCTTTTTCTGTGATCTCCAGGGGAAGAGTTCATTCCACATCTAGAAAAAAGGACAGAGGGAGGTTCAGCACTAAATTCCACAAAGAGTTCTTGCACATGCATAATTCAGACAACTCATCCTGATGAGAGCAGGAGCTCAGCCTAAATCTTATGTCTAACCTTCATGAAGCAGTGACAGTTCTAAGAAGCCACCTAGAGCAGCATGAGGGGATAACAAACCTCCGAATCTGTTTAATAAAAAATACATATAGCAGATGGCAACCTGTTAAAAAGCAATAGTTTCAATTGTATATTGTGCCTTTCCTTCCTCTATTTGTTTTTCCCTGTGTCTGCCCCAGAAAAGGAAGCTGTACCAAGGCCCATTTATCTCATTAGAGTTTTGTTTACAATCCAGGTCTGGCGTGGGTACAGCCAGCGCAAGAAAACAGAGAAGCTGAGGGAGGAGGAAATGATATTTCTGGGCATGGTAAGTGGGGCTGTGCCTCGAGAACATAAAATGCCACACTCTGTTTGCTCTCCAGGCTTTTATAATTCAGCCCAAGAGGAGAAATTAATTTCTATGATTCCTCCTATTCTAAAAAGAGTCTCCAAGGAATACAGAACTCAACTGAAATGATAAATGGCACAGGAGTAGCACAATTTGTCTTCTGCTGAATGGGTTTGTGCTGTCCATACATTCTCCAATGTGTGTGGCAGATGTGGAAACTGGCTGTGGAGAATTTGCCCTGGGTTCCAGGGAATTTGACCTAGGCATGATCAGCAAGGCAATTTTATTAATCAGCTTTTCAGTCGTGATTTCGAGACTGGTGGGCTGCCTTATGTCTGGAGTAGAATTCATGGAGGTTGGAAAAGGCCCCTAAAATCATCAAGTCCAAGCATTGACCCAGCAGTGTCACACCCACCCCTAACCCATGCCCCCAGGTGCCACATCCACACATTTTTTGAACACTCCCAGGGATGGTGACTCTACCACTTAACTGGGCAGCCTGTTCCAATGCTTGACAGCCCTTACAGTGGGGTAAAATAGTTAATTTTTCCTAATATTCAATTAAATTAGAGAAGCAAAATCCTCTTCCTCCCACCCCTTTGCAAGCCACTGCCTGTGCATGTCAAGAGGAGGGAAGAGAAACCTAAGAACTGGCATGTTAATCCATCAATATTCTCTCAAGTCCATATCAAAATAATCAAAATCTTCCTTGCACCACACTGCAGGGGCACAGGGAAGTGAGCAGCTGCCCACAGTCAGTTAAATTGCACAGGGGTGAAAGAAAAAAATTCAAGCACCCTTTCCACAAGAATTCTGTTCTTCCCTCCCCCTTCCTTGAAACAAACACCCAAAAAATAGGATCAATTCTTTACTGTTGACTTTTTTTTTGCCCCCCTCCAAGTTTTTGGAGGCACTAAGAGGTGTCAAGCCTCACCCAAGTCCAGCTGCAGTAGCACAGCCTTTTACCAAGCTCTAGTAAAGTTCTAGTAAAGCAGCAGCACATCACAGAAACATTCAGCACTGCTCTGCATTTGTTAAGTTTATTTATGCTTCCATGTTCTACAGTTCTTAAGTGATTAATTTATAAACTAATAATTTAATTTTGATTTAAAACATGCTTTTGGCTTTTCCCAGGCTGTTTGGGGGATTTTCTTGCCCAGCAATGGAATTGCTCTTAGCTGCTTTATAGGGTTCTAAAAAGTGATTGTGCCTGGAGAACACATCTCACATCAGTTAAAAATAACATTAATACCTTACCTTTAGGAAGGAAAATGTACATTTACCTAAGCTTTGCCATGTTAAATACAGGTTACACCTTAGGGATTACTGCCTTTAGTGTCTAACAGCTAAACAAGAAGCTTAGGTACCAATTCTGCCTCTGTTTAAGACAGAATTCCCAGAGACTTTAATTAGTGCAGACCTGAATACTTGGGATGTACTGAAAATGAGTTGGAAATGGCACCTTTTGCAGAACAAGGGATTGTTTCCTGTCAAATCCCATGACGTTTCTGGCCAGTCCTTAGGAAGGAAATCTAAATCTGGCATCAGTTATCTGAGGGTTCAGAGCCAAGCCCTCATTTCATGGTGGCCAGTGTGGGAGGAACTGGTAACTATGATGTGAACAGCCTGGTTTATGGGGAGCATAATGTAATCTATATTATCAGAGGGATGAAGGGAATTAAAACCAAACACATCGAGTGCATTCAGTTCCTGACCTCCATATAAAAGCAAGAGAATTGATGTTTGCTCCTCTGCACTCTGACTCATAGCTCTTTATCAAGTTTATAATCAAAGGATGTGGGGAGAAAAATTGATAACTCTAAATAAAATTTTTAAAAAATTGTTTCATCTTTCCAGGGTTTTTATATTCCCTTTTCCTTTCCATGCTGCATTCCCTTCCCTGGTCTGCAAAGGAAGCAGACATTGGTTCCCACTGATAGATAGGCAGGGAGCTCCAAAGGTCAAGTCCCTTTGATGTATGATCACGTCAGCCCTCTAAAAAATGACCACAGATCTTCATGTGTAAATATGTTGAATTTGCTTTTCTAATGCTGCACGACTTAGATAAATTAGAAGACCCAACCATCCATTACTCCAAGTCCATCCCAAAGGAGATTCGACTTTTGTTGCAATAAATACAATTTTTCTTATAATTAGGGCTTTTTAAAAAAAATGTCTGTGTTACTTTCAGACAAAGACTGCTTTGCACAAAGAGCTGATCCGTTTGAAGTTCTGTGGAAAAAAGATTTCTGGGAAAATTCAATTGTGTTAGCCTAAAAAATAGGAAAATAAGTGTCAAGCCCAAGAATTGTCCAGCCTTTTGCTTAATTCAGTTTTATTTTCTTTACTCTCTACTTGCTTCACTAAAAATTTATGTATCTTTTCTGGAACTTGGTTCTATTTCATCTTTAGCTTGATGACGGAGAGCGAGCCTATGGTAGAGAGATTTTTCTTGGCTCAAAAGTAAAACCTCATTATTATTATTATTTATTAAAGCCTAATTGCAGAAACAGCATGATTCCCTCAGCCTACATTCTCCAAAGCCCTGATAAATCACACTTTGCAGTCCCAGTTTAATTTGTGAAGAGAAGCAAGCCTCCTAAGAGCACATACATCTTGATAACTGTATCCTGAGCTGCTTCCTGATCTTCCTCACATCCCTGCCACAGGGCTGTTTACTGCCAGCTCCAGTACAACCAGCAGAACCACTGCTCCAGGCACGGGGTTGTGTTTAAACCACACTGACATGGCAAGAAAACACACTGAGCTGTCTGAACACACACGTGATGTCTGAGCAAACCTGCACTTGCTTGTCCTGTTTTACCATCCCAGCTCAATTTAACACACCAGGTTTTTTAACTGCTCTGTTCTTCTGGCATTTATAGATTCCCTGTCACTAAAAGCCCCGTTCAGAGGTTATGACTGTTTAATTTTGCTGCAGAGATCAGTGCAGCTGGGTGTGTGACCTGGCTTTTGGCAGCTGCTGTGTCTCAGGGTACCGCAGAACAGCCCGAGCCTGGTCCTGAATCCACGCTCGGCACTCCTGCAGGAAGTTATACTTCTAATCTCAGAGCACAGGCTGCTGGAAAGAGGAAAGGCTGGGTTTAACCTAAAACTTTAGGATAAACAGTTTGCCATCAGACTGATTGATGAGAGGAGGATGTAGGAGGATGTTGGGGACTGGAGGAACAGAACACGAAGCTAGCGTGTGCCCAGGTGGCCAAGGACACCTGGCCTGTCACAGGACTGATGTGGTCAGCAGGAGCAGGGAGGTGATGGGCACTGGTGAGGCTGCTTCAAGTGTTGTGTCCAGTTTTTCTCCTCAAAGTATTCTGGAAGCCAAACCAAACAATTCCAGTCACTGCTTTGGTAAGTCCTCTGTTGTGCCTGGAGAAGTTAAAGTTTGCCACATGCCTTATTTTGCCAGGATGGTCCAACGTTGGCAAGTAAAGGTTGTTACTGAACCTCCCAAGAATTTTTTTGTTTCTGCACCACCCAGAGTAAATCAAACTACCCTCCCTAAACCTGCTAAGCAGGAATTAGAGAAGTCCAGGAAAAAAGAATACAGAATGACAAGTCCCTTTTTCCACCTGCAGTGCTCTGATGCATTTTCCCCCAAGCCTCTTCTCCCTGAGCTGGGCTTACCCAGAACAGCCCCTCCTTCCATTTTCATCAGAACTGCAATCCCAGCAGCACATCCAGAAAGCCATTCCTTCAGAAAAGTAAACATTCCATAGCTGAAGAAATTCTCCTAGTTCTTTATGTCCTTTTTCTCAAATGGATACAGTTCAGCAGGATGCAGGAGCCATGTGCAGCCATTGTGGCTCCCTGCTGGAGCATCAGGTTTTCCTCATCACACATCACCACACCAGATTCTGCTTCTCCTAAAGGTCCTCAGAAAAACACATCTCCCAGAATATCGGACTTCCAAGATATTTCAGGACAAGCCAAACCCTGGGTTAGGGTCTCACAGCTGTGAATTTACACTTGCACAGCTCTATCCTGAAATCCCAACCCTTCCCAAGGAGTTAGTGGTGCAATTCCTGCTGTTCTGTGATTCTCTGACGTGGTGTTTCCAGCATCCTTCCTTCCTCCCCACCCAGGGCCAGCCTGGATGGGGCTTGGAGCAACCTGGAATAGTGGAAGGTGTCCCTGCCCTGGCAGGGGATGAAACAAGATGAGCTTTAAGATCCCTTTCAACCCAAACCATTCCATGATTCCATGATCCTTTTCACATGAAAGGATCTGCATGGTGTTAAATAAAAAGCTGTTCTCTCCTTCCTACCTCTTTTAAACATACCCTAATTTAGGCATGTTGTCTTGGTTAAGGCTTTATTTATATCTGAGAAAACAGTCTGCCAAACATTCCTCCTTCTCTGAATTCCTGATAAATATAATTCATTTAATCCAGTCAGAAAAAAAAAAATTAAAAAAAAATAAAAATCAGCATTTCCAAGAATAGCTTTCTGTGTAAACATTATAGACTATGGCTAAATAAATATTATACAGGATTTAACAAACTACAGACTCAATCAAATGAAATTTAAAATATTTCATCAGCTCTTGCAAGTGGGCAGCTACAGCAGTGGTGCAGATCAGGCCTGGTTTTGCCAAGCTTAAGATTAAAATGACTTTTGCTTGCCTGGGTGTCAGCACAAAGTCCTCTGTTATTTCACATCTTAGCAGTGATAAGTAATCTGTCCTGTTTTCAATAGAAATTTTAAGCCTGCTTGTTTTTGAAACAAAGTCTCTGGGAAGAAAGAAGCATGCTAAATAATTTGGCTTTCATTGGCTGCAGTGATACTAACAATGAAATCACTGCCTTTCAGAGCCCAAAACATGCTTGCCATGTTTAGTCCAAGTTTAACAGCGTGCCCAGGTGTTGTGTCAGAAATAAACATAACCAAAACTATACAAACTCATCTGACCCTGAATGTAAAACCTTCTGTCCACTTCAGATTTTCTTTATCTTCCTAAAA